CAACCGGGGGCCACAGCCACCCGGGAGCGGTGGCTTTGGCTGCAGGGACGGGAGGAGAGGCTGCCTCTGCCTGGAGGGTTGTGTGGTGCCTGGCACTGCCCCGACTCGTGGCTCTGGGGCTCCGTTCCTGAGCATCCCCTGGGAAGCTGGAAGGAAACCGTCACTGAGCCGGACAAAGAGGCCGGACTTGAGCAGGGCTGCAGCCAAGTGCCCGGCTCCGCGTGCGGCGGTAACCCAACCGCACCTAGGTAAGGCCAGATGCCGTTCTTCGCTATATTTAGAAAGGAAAGGAAAGGAGAGGGCACGCTGGATGAGCGCTCCTCCTTGTCCAGGTCAGCTGGGAAACAGCCTCACCTCGACCACGGGCAGCCTGAACGTCACCTCCACCGGGGAATTAAACCCTTGGACTAGACCTTGACGCACGCATATTGTACCTTCCGTAGCTCTTATCGAGCACTTTATCAGCAGATCTCAGAGCTCTTCCCAAAGGAGAAAGGTGAAACTGAGACGCAGAGGAGGGAAAGAACTCGTTCTCCCTCCGGTGCCAAGCAGCAGCAGGGTGGGATAGATCCCAGATAGCCCTGGGCCCCCCTGCAGTGATTTATGTCTCAGACCTCTCGCGGGACGTTCTCTGCTCGACCATGGAGCTTTCCTGCTCCAACTTGCAGTTACCTCCCCCTCTTGCTCTGGAGTTAACTGGGAGCAAGTGGCTTTTGTGAGAGCTCCGGTAGCTGTGCCGCTGTCCCAGCACCATGCTCGGAGACAGCCTGGAGCCACCCCAGGAGAGGGTTTCCAAAGGAAAGGCTGGCACTGCGCAGCTGCACGCAGGGCTCCAAGCGGGTGACCCGGGACATCCACGCAACCCCTATGGAGCAAGAGGAGGTTTCTCAAAGGCTCCCTTGCCCCAGATCTGGGCACAGCTGGGACGTGTCTGCAACAACATCCGCTTTGCCCCGCTCCTGGGGGGGAAGGAGGGGGAAAGGGAACTGGTGCAGATGCAGCGTGTGATCCGAACCGCAGCAGGAGATGGTTGGCCAACCTTTTCCCTGCGTGACCCCTGGCTGAGCTGAACCCTGCCCACTCCTTCCCCAGCAGCGAGTGCCCTGGGGATTACATAAAGCAGGTAGAAACATCTCTGATACCAGTCAGCTTCCCAGCCCCGGTGGGGGACGGGGCACCAGAGGGAGGGTGCCCGGTGTCGAGGGGAGGCAGGCTGGCAGGACAAGGCACCTGGCTGCAGCGTGATCGGATCTGCCCTTGCAAGTTTGGCTTTGGGTTTGCTGGAGCCGGGCTTAGAGGAGCGATGAAGAGTGCGGAACAGCATCTGCACACCTCATTCCCGGCCGTGCCATGCCAGGCAGTGCCAGTCCCTGCTCCTAGCCTTTGAAAACTTGGAGATCTCGCGTCTCTGTGCCACGTCCATCACAGGCTGGATGACTCGACTGGTCCAGCCCTGGAAAGCCCCGGCTCT